GAAATTTTAGCTTTTCGTCGAATGTTTTTGCTGTTTGTACTCATTCTTTACGGACATTTAGGTTGCTTATTCATCAACCTGCTGATTGCCGTAACCAAGGAGCTTCAATGTAACAGGTTTCAGCCATATGTCTTTCACCTGCGGCCCCTTACGTATCATGAAATATATCGCTGTAAGCACTACCACATTCCATGATTTTCTCACTCTACGAGAGGATCATTGGTTTTGAGAGACCTAGAGAACTTAACCTATTCCGCCTCCAAGCCGTCAGTGAGCGAGCAGAGACTACCAGTTGCATCCATTTGCTAGATATTACCAGAATCCCATAGAGGTCGTTCACGCCAACTAACAAGTGCGTTGAAACTTCTGACTGAGAAAAGGATGGTTGGGAGAGGAGTGGTAACTACAACAAGAAAGCCTCCTGGTTAATCGGACCACCAAGTAAATGTTTCACGGTGATCGAATTTCTAATGATGCAAAGATAAAGACGATATTGTAGCATAATATATTGATAATGTAATAACAATGGCTTCACCCTGAAAGCTTTTTCGGTAATATTCTACAGAATTTCCAGGAGGTCATTTAGCATCAATTGGATGGAGACCATGCACATGTATGTATACCGAAATGAAATAGGTAGAAATTACAGGAAGAAAAGATAGAATTACTCGCTCTATCTACGACCTTCAAAATTCATAGTCATTTTAGTAGACAACCGAATCGGCAGTTATATTCGTGATGCGTTCACCTTCAGTTACCTTTCAAAAACAGAAGTTAATTAGTTCATTTCTGGTGATTTCTTCATCACACAGCAGACGGGCTAAATATGGCATCGTAGAGTTTTATTTTGTGGTACGCACATAGAGCCTTATGTACCTGCTCCTATTCCTCCTAGCTGACGGCACGCAGAGAACCATTTAGGGGAAGAGGATGTTGGTCATCTGATACAATAACTCCTAACAGATGTTTACATGAGTTAATATGTTTGTTCACAACAGCTTTGACTAGAAAGTTTAAGGGTACACCACTAGTTCTGCTGACAATCTTCAAAGTTCTTCTCAATGCAGCGTAGTCTTTCTTCGGCAACCCAGGAAAAATAAAGGGGAGTAACAGGGGAGGACATGTAAGATGCAGGAGTTTCTGAAACATGATAGGAGGGGCTGAGCACTTCCCGATACTACCAGCTTCGTAATATAGAAAGTTGGGTGGAAAATTCTTTTGGAAATCAGTAAGATGTGGGAAGACCAGGAAAGGTCCGCAGAAAAACACACCAAGGTAGATCACAATTGTAACATTCTCTAATGTGCAACTATCAATATAACGGGAATCTTCAGAACTGAACAGTTTACATGAGTTATGTACACGCCTAAAACTAAAGCTTATGGGCTGGCATCTTGAAGAATTACGTATAATGCCATTCTCGGAGGACCATCGTTTAACAGTGGATAGGAAATTATTCATTTGGGAGCAATCTGCTGAAGAAGAGTTAGGTGTGGAAACTGTTTGGCCATCGGCATACTTGTTGAAACTGATATCGGCTGAAAATTGTAGGCCATGCTGGAGGAGTGAGAAAGGACGTTGGGGAAGGACGGTTCCTTGGGGAACCCCAGTCACAGTAACCAATGAGGCAGGGCGCTTCCTATCAGAGGAGTGTGAATGCAGCCAGCTGATTATCCAGGACTCAGTATTCTTCTCGGTTAGCCTGTCCAGCAGACGAGGTCTCGGGACAGAATCAAACGCTGAAACGTAGTCTGGAAGCGCATACCCGACATAACTAGCATTTCTATCTAGACTATGAACAATACCATGATGTAGGAGAGTGGTGGCATCCAATGCGCTTCTGGTTTCATATGCAAATTGACTAGGGTCTCCGATAGCCTTCAGTGAGATCTGGAGCAAAGGTATCATTAGCTTCTCCATAACCCTTAAGAACTGAGAGGTAACTGCAATCGAACGGTATTTTGTATATACAAGTGGAGTCCTAGACTTAGGTGCAGGGACTATCTTGGCATCTTTTCAGGCAACTGGTGTGGTGTTTTCTAAAACGATCTGTTGAACATGTTTGCTAATGGATGGCATAAAGTATCATCATATTTCCTAAGTGCGACGCCTGACATACCAACCGGTCCTGAACTGTCAGCGGGGTTCAGGGATTTGAGAAGCTCTAAAGCATAGTTCGTGGTGAACTCTGAAGAACGTTCTTCATTGGACGCGGATAGACATAGTGAAATCGAACAAGTGGGTTGACGTAAAAACGATTTGTTCAAAGCACAGAGACTGACGTAAAGTTCTTTGCCAGGGTGTTTGCTTCCAGCGAGGTCTTTAAGAAGTTTCCACACGCTGGAAGAGCCTTTGCACGACAAAAGTTTTTGGTAGTACAGTAGACTAAGAAGCTTAATTTCCAACCCAATTAGGACGTCCAATTGATGAGCATTAGCATTGTCCGTTACTTCAGACAGTCCTTTATCGCTTCTTAGTTTCTTAAGCTGGGAAGAATATGTACAGTCGAAGCGTGGGGAAAGTTTTCCATTTGGGCAACATATATCAGGACAGAACTTGAGATAACATGTCGCACCATCGATAGTATCGTTCAAGGCATCGCTGTCAAATATATTCCAGTTTGTACATTGCAGCACTTCTCTTACGTTAAGTACATTACTAGGTAGATGTTTTCTGAGTACAGTCTTCTTATATGTGAAAGCTGTTTTGTGAAGGCTGCCGTACACTGTACGCAAAACACGTATAATGATCTCGGCTAAGCAGCGGGTATCTCTTTCGAGTTTCATCTATGTCAGTATCATTGACGAGTACTAAGTCCAGTGTTGCATCCTGACGTGTTGTGAAGTTAACAACGTTTTGGTGACCAAGAATTTTGAGAAAGTTCCGGTTACAAGAACTGAAGTCACCGAACACTGTCAACAGGAAACCACAGAGTACTGATGCTGTGGATTCGGTGAGTATGTAAGAGAAATTGGATAGTTCGAAGAAACTGCGACCAGGAGTCACATAAATATTTGTTATATGAATAAGGTGATAGTTGTTCAAATGTTTTGGGCGACATTTTACGGTGATGCAATCTATGTAGTCATTTTAGAATGTACTGATAGGTATTGATGAAGGTCACTACTCCATCTTCACTTTTCCCAATACAGCTACACCGATCTTGGCGAAGAATTTCGAAGTCGTTCGGAGAAAACAAGTTGTCATTATGAGGTTCGTGTAACTAAGTTTCTTATGTTGGAACCGTTTAAGCTTGAGGACAGAATAAGTTCATCATGTAAACAAGTAACCAGAATGCAGAACCAGCATAGACGCAGAAGAGTAGTAAAACCACTATGCCCATCAACTCCCAGGCGGATTGATTAAACTGGCTGTCTGAGGAGGCAGAAAGAAAATTCTTTAGGGGGTAACAACCCCATGGTTCCTAGCAGTTTCGCAGAAGCATTTGTAAATGATGCCGTTTGTGGAAATCTGAACAGACTCGCGCCTGATAGCTGAACACTGAGATATCCCCACTTTACCGTATCTAAAAGGTTTTATGGGGTAATTTCACTCTGCTGGTAGAGTTCCGGCTATAAATCCTGGTTTCACTGCAGCCATAATTACTTTGTTTGACCTGTATGATGTCAGGTTTGTACCCCGTGATGGATTTCTTCTCTTTGAGTTCTTTGTTATAACTTCCAATGACCTCTCAAGAGATTTGTGGAAGGAATATTAATTGAGAACGTCACCTGAACAACATGTCCTTGAGCAGCTAGCTTAGCTGCCTCTCACCATATTGCGTCAATGCCCGGATCTCTGGTGTGCACTATTCTAAGGTTATTGTCGACAATCCTCAATGGTCCTTGTTGAGCAACGATGTCTGCAGTGTACTTCACTGGGGGCACACTGTATGCCAGGTGCCCCCAAATTCCAAAGCTAAGTTATGCAGCTCTGTGTTAGCCTCCTGTAAAGAGGTTCACCAAAACGTAGCATATGGCAATAAGCAAGCAGTAGGGTGTAGTCGATGAAGACCAGTAACCATAAAAGGCGGAAGGATGCCTTTCAGTATTGCAGAACTAATGTAAAACTGGAGTAAACGACTTTGCGCCTTCCAAGGTGCAAAATTAGCAGCACCATAACACTCGTGTTGGGAGTCAGAGAATGTACCTAAGGATTGCCCTGGTGCGAACTTGACAGACGCAAAGACCAATCACTAATTATTCGGGCTTGTTATATACCCACGAATACGAGACCAAGGAAGAACACGATAGCGTAGTCGGATGGAATAGTATATTTGGATGGTTGTGCCAAGATTTCGATGCGTTCCAACTAACTGGCTAGAGAGTCGAATACGAGCAGTGCAACGTAACACGACAGCGTACCAAATAGAGAAGATGCTTGACCAGGTGCCTCTAGCTTAGCGAGTCCAGTTAAACTATCGAGGTCAGCATCAATGTTGAATGTCGTCAAACCCTAGGCTATTGATTTTGGGGAAGTGCGTGACACCTCAGGTATTTAGTCTGTAAGTATTCCAGGGATTCGAGTTGCTTCTTGATCACCTTTTATTCCTCAGAAATTTCTGAGAAGCATTTAAGTGACAGCCATGTGATAAATTTTGCTGACTTCATCTCACTGAAACTTTTAGGTCACTTAACGAGGGCAGTTATCGTTTAAGTTCGGCCATTCTAATTTCACCAGAATAAAACAAAAGTCGAATCATAGTTTCGACTAAGCTACGGTTGTTTTTTACCTTGATTAAAATGTGCTGCTTGCAACACTAATGGGTATTAGACAGGTACTCATTAACGTGTAGGACCACTAAAAATAAACGAAATGTGAAAATTGTGTTATCAGATGACTTGCAATATCATAAGTTATAAAGATAAACGGTAAGAAACACGGATAAAGGCTAACTGAACAAAAAGCAAGAACATTCCTAACATAAGATAATTTTTAATGTTCATTCTGCTTGATGAATACACCAATCACAGAATCAGGTTTCCCAAGTACACCGGTGGGACTTTTAAAGTTGTTTTCGTTGTAAGGGCTTTCAGATACGCTTAATGTATGCCAGGTTTCTATAGTTTGACCAAATATGCGGATTTTACATACATCGTTAGCTTAGTCTCTGAGAAAACATCAGGACACCAAAAAGCGGGAGATATATACTATTTACTACATGATTTTTTATATGTGGTTTTTCTCGGGTTGTAGGTTCATGCTAAATATGGACCAAGTCAGAATAACTTCAGCATTTACATGGGATGAGAAATATTTTAACCAGAATGTCAGCTGCTTTGTGCATTTTTCTGAATCAGATAGAAAAGTAGTTAACAGTTTCAAAGACATTTTTCTGTTTATTTCCAAGTCAACATTTCTGTCGGTCTATATCGGGTCACTCACTATAGAAAACGCCGGGCCAAGCGTAGGGCTTTGAAACATTTTCCCTACGTCTGACCCCATGTCTAGCATATGTGGCCCTACGTCTTGCCTTGAGGTTTTACTGGTGGCCCCACGTACTGATTGTTGACCCTACAGCCAGCCCGAGTGGCCATACGCATGACTCCATGTGCACTGGATTCGGCCCAATATTGTCCTGCTTGACCCAACAAAACTGTTGACGGCTTAAAACAACAGAAGTTACGAAAACAGGGTCCCAGAATAATATGGTTTTTGGTTGTTTCTTGATGTTTTCATACCTCTGTTAGACCATAAGTAGCCGAGTAATAACATCTTGCCTAGATTCAGGCAAGTTTGTGAATCGAAGCCCCTTTCTTTCCGTAGGTTTTACCAGAGTTGCAATTAGTATTAATTACTTTTATTCCGCGGTAAAACTTACAATGTTTTCCATCCGTGAAACTAAGAGTCAGTAGTGTCAGGTCTACGTGCTGTTTTTGCATGTAAAAGTGCTGTCAAGTGCGTTTTCCGATTATCAGTAAACCAATGCAAAATTCGTGTAGATGATTTTGGATTTCTGTAGTTAAGAAATGACAACTTTCTACTTAATAACTCAGCAGTTATAGTAACAGTTTGAGAAGTAAAGTTGGGTGTTTGGACTACGAAGTTAAGTATAAACGTATGACTTTCAAAGTATAGGATTTGAATACTTAGTTATTACGCAGCAAACAAACAGAGAGTGTGTCATTCCGACTACAGCCTATGGTGTTTGAAGCAAAAGGGTATCACTTTCCTGAGTATGTGAATGAATCCCGGATACACTAAAAAGTGGTCACTTACCTCTTCAAAATGACGATAAATAATTATTCGAAATATAAATGTGTTGGTTAAAAAGTGAAATAAATGTTCGAAAGTCCGAGATACGCTTTTCTTTCTGAAGAGCAAAGCCCATAGTTATCACGGTGGTTACAGATTGACTACCAATTCTTTCTGAACACTCAAGTTAGGCTGTATCCGTTTGGTCGATACTTTTTTCAAACCGCGGGGGTTTGAAGTCTTCTGTCTGCTGACGATTAAAGTCTTAGTTAACTGGTAAAAGATACGTGACCCTGTGGTCTAAATTTCTTCATTACATGCTGAAGAATCCAAATAGTTAATGGCCCCTCCATTCACCTTATGTGGTATCGAGATTTGTTACTAAGTGGAATTCTTTGTCCTTAAGTATATGAAAAACATCTTTTTACTGCGTGGGATCATACAAGCTGCAGAAGTTCCACTTATTGAGTTTGCAATCACTGTTTGCAAGCACATTATATGCTTTGCACCATCGAAGTACGAAGTGCTTGTACTTGTACTCACCATTACCGGCAAACCGTTGTAAGTTTTCGGGAAGTCTACTAGGCTGGGTAGCTGTATGAAACCTGGTTGGAATATGACTGATGCGATTTTTAACCGCAAGTCAAAATCCACATCATACGCCGGTTCTATTTTGCATCTGTGAAACGTGGCCTTTCTGAGCTAGGGTTCTGACGACTATGGTTATCCGATCACTGTTATCACCGTAATACTGTTCACATCTAACAGAAAACTGATGTCTGTAACTCTAAAGTGGGATGGTGTGTTTGGGTACGATGATCTTCATCCATTAAGTAAGATCATCGTGAAACGCTATCTTTTCTGGCTCGCCTACGTGTAGCAAATATCTTCCCGGCGATCTCCATGCCTCTCACTGCTTGCTTTTCTTCATACTGATGAGAAGGAACTTAGAGGTGGCCAGTGTGTGATGAGGTACCATAGGATGAAGAATAGTTGGTTTGGGTTAGTACCCTTTGGTACGTCATGGCTTCCTGGATGGGGTCCGAGAAATCATTCAACTCATTGGCTTGAAATAGCGGAAGACGTAGCTGTGAACCGAAACCGGCGCGTCCTGCCGCAGCTTCCTCTTATCTTTTGTTACTAATACGGAAAGCATGAGTAGTGAGTGCTTCTTCGAAAGTGTTTCAGACTACTTTTGTAACAATCTATTTCTGGTTTTGTTCCCTCCCTTTTTCCTCGTTTCATGTCACTTGTCTGTCTTCCCAATGTTATGTTATTTCATGTGGTGCTCATAGCGTTCCAAGCTTGTTTTTCAAATTTGAAAATAAATCTAATCCCTATGGCTGGTTAGCCTGCACCGCTTCATGAACTGATGCCATATCTTGATCTGGCTCTCTTCCAACTTAATCATACTTCAGATAACATCAGACGTTGAGGCAAGCGGTGGCTTGACATGCACAACACATGTTCAAGTCACTTCAGTCGATGAAAGTTAACAGCCTCAGTAACAGTTATGCTCTTCTTGCCTAATTCTGCGAATCGCACCGCAGCATTGCTCACACAGTAATTCCACAATAGACAAGCAATGCTACAAACACGCTGATGGCTAAGACTCGTAACCGCTTCACATCTACTTTCATAAGCCATCTCTTACACCCGTACAAAAGGATGTAGTTGAACGCTGCGCAGTGTTATCGTCCTTTGATATGTAGTTGTATACTCATGTGATAAGTTGACAACTGCCAAATAGTGCTTTTTTATCCGAGCGGAGGTTTTGTCACCAACTAGCACATTAGTGTTGGTGCAACTGTCCAAGCAAGTGAATTTGTCAATATATTCCATAATTTACTTTCTATCCTTAAACTGGGAGTAGCTCTAGCCCAGTTTTGAATAACTATCCTTCATTTAACTCATGTCAGATACTCAGGTTTATGCCCAAGGGTTTCAAAAGACTGCATTTTGTCAGCTTTTCCTAAGGTGACTATGTTGTCTACTTACTTCAAGTCAGTCACATGCCCTCCAGGGAGTAGGTCAATCCCTGTGAAGTCAGGTACATAAAGTTATTCCCATTAGTACATCTGTAACGAAATCAAACAGGAACAATGACAGCAGGCATCCCTGATGGAGACCACCAGTTATCATCAATTCAAATGAAAACTCCTTACGCGGCTGCATAAGTACGACCGTTTCATATTCATTTGATATTACATTAACAACTAGATACTGCCACATATCACAAAGTTGAATGATGCCTTCAGATTAAGAAACAAATGCAAGTGACAACCCTCGGTGAGTAAGCCTGTGTTCCAAAACCTGTGGAAGGGTGAGAATCTGATCAGTACACCCTCGTTCAAGTTTAAAACTTGCCCAATTTTCTTGAGTTTGTAGTTTTCTAGCTAGGTGTGGGACAATGACGGACTGTAGGATCTAGTATATGATGTTAGTCAAACTAATCCCCCTGTAGTGGTCCTAGAAACGTTTCTCCCTTCTTTTATAGATTGAAATGATCAGTCATCTAGATCAAACTGAAGGAACTGTCTTTGGTTCCCGTACACTAGTTACTACCTCCGTTGCTTTACTAGGTAATTTTCCATCTTTATTCTTCGCAGCTCCTGTCGGCAAATCATCGAGTTCTGTTGGCAGTTTTCTTGATAAGCCAAAATAATTGTTGAGCATTAACGAATGCTGATGCCTTTCTCTCTTTTACGAATCACGATTATTGCGAAGACTCAGCCAGTTTATGTTTAAGCTGCTTTCGTTCTTCATTGTGGTCGGAGCCAGCTAGAACGAGTCTTTTCGCACTAGTCAATTTGGTTGAGGTTTCGGAAATGCACTGGATTTTTCCAGCCTTTGGATGTAGGTTACTAACTGTCTGCCGCTGTTTCTACGCCAGACTAAATATCACGACAGACTTCCGACCTGATTCAACTTCCCCTAGCATTTCATGTTGAGGTAGGCGGTGGCTAGACATGTGCAGTACATGTTCAAGTCATCTCAGTTGACTAAAGTTTACAACCTCTTGCCTAGTAGCCTGCACCTAATCTCAACATTTCTCACACGGTGATCCCACCAAACGTGACCAATGCTACGAAAACACCTATGATCGGAACACTGTAACTGTTACATGTCTCCTACTTTTAATGATCATGTCTCACAACCATACAACAGGACAGAACGGACCGTAGCGCTACGTACTCGTCCTTTGATAGATAGTCGGATATCTCGCCAACACCACAGTTAACACAAGTTCTGTATCCAAGCCGAGATTTCATCAGCAACCAGCCCGTTTAGTGGGTTGATGCACCTCCCTAATTAAGTGAAGTGGTCGACACATTCTACCACTTCACTCCCTATCACTGGACTGGGAGTGGTTGCAGAAGAATAGCCGTAGAGCATCATCTTATATTTGACGAATAAGAGACGCATGCCAAACATACTCAGATTTCTGCTCAAGGTGTTCAAAAAACTCCATTTCGTCAGCATCTTTACCTAGTATGACAATATAGTCTGGATATTCCAAGTCAACTAGGTGACCTCCAAGTAGTAGGTCAATCCCTTTGAAGTCAGACCTAACTAACTTTAGTACGTCTATAGCGAATTTAAATTGGAACGGTGACACTGGACATCACTGCCGGACACCACTTGTTGTTGTCAGTGCATTTGACAATTCTCCACAATCTCTTTGTTAGCTGCATGAGTTCGAGTAGAGAGCTTTGATTTGCTCGGTACTTTCTTCACCGTCAGACATTGCTGCAAGTCCTCATGGTCGACACAGTCAAATGGCGCCTTGAAGTCAAGAAATATAGCGTTTGTCGGCCGCCTAAAGGTATGTTTATTCCAGAACCTGTCTGAGGGTGAAAATATGACAGGTGAACCTTCGTCCAGGTTTGAAACCTGCCTGGTGTTTCCAAGTTTGCTATTCTGGAGCTCCAGTCAAGCGTCGGATAACTATGAACCCTTGGATTTTGAGGACGATATTAGTAAGACTGATTTCCCTGTGATTGTCACAAGAATCCTCTCCCTTCTTTGAGACTGGGATGGTCAAAGAAGTAGGCCAGTCTGATGGTTCTTCCTCTGATTTGCATACACTACTTAGTACCTCCCTCACTCTTAGCATCAATTTCCTACCTCCGTCATTGAAAACACTGTTAGTTCCTGCTGCTTTCCATCTTTTAAGGTTCCATACGGCTTTCTGAGCTTCAAGAATAGTTGGAGTACCGATATCTACACCCCATTCAGGTTTAGGTTGGATTTTGGGCAACTGAAGTGTTGCTGAGGGCCAGTTGGACTATGCTTCAAAATGTTCTGTTCAGCGTTCTAGCCGCCTGTCCTCAGAGGTTATCAGCATCCTATTCTTTTGGTGATGGTTTCACTCACTATCGTTTTCTTCTTATCGATGTCCTTAATCAGTCTAAATACTTGTTGAGTATTACCCAACGCTGATGCCTTCTCCATCTCTCTCTCTTTCGTCACACACCACTGCTTGCGATCGACGCGAGTACTCTTGGTCAACTAACGTTTAAGTTGCCTTCGCTCTTCATTGTGGTCAGAGTCAGCTGCAACCACTTCTCGCATCAGTCCGTTCGGATAATGTCATGGAAATACAATGACGTTCGTTAACCTTCGAGTGTAGGTTAACAATTGTCTTTACCGTTGTTTCTATAGCAAACCTAATATCACTCTAGGTTTTCTCAGGATGATCATTGTTGTTATGTTCAAACTAATGCTTAGCTAACTCCTCCCTAGATGCTTATCCGTCGTCCTCATCTCGCAATCGATCATAGACAGGCTTTACTATTGCCTGTTTCCTGCAACCAGTAAGACGCAGACATACACAAACCCGTACTGGCGCGTGATCATAGTCCAAACTGGTACTACAGAAAGAGCGGCAATCCTCCACCGATCCTCTTTAGTGATGGCTTATAGATCTATCTGTGTCCATCGTTGGTTTGATATCAACGAATGCCATGTGAGAATAACTTTCCTAATGCCTAAGGTTAGTCCTGGCCAGAAACAAATGGTTGTCAAAGCAAAATTGCAAGGGACGACCACCGTTATCAGTTCGTTGGCATGGGATTCCGTTAGATACTTCCAAGATGCCTTTTGGATTAACTCAACTTTACTACTTGAGTGTTAAAGTCACCTGCTGTTATGACTACTTCTGAACGTTTTGCTTTCTGTAGCAAAATTGACAGCTCTTCATGGAATTTCCATGGGAATTGCAGTCGGTAGGTGCGTAGGTAGAGATTACGAATAGGCATCGCATAGTTTCATGATCCTTTCTAGTTCTTACAGATCCATTCAGTCGAACAGTACATAGACGGCTGTTTAATGGAAATCAGTCGAGGAGAGCACTTTTTGCTTCACTACTCAATGCTATTCCTACACCAGTGAGTCCACAAGAGCTAGCCATTGCTCCTCCGAAGTATTGTAAGTTGTATTTTGAGAATTCACCACAATGACCACCATGTGAGGTCAAGCGATTCAGCATATCTCAGAAATACCGCATACATCCATGGCTTTAGATCCTAGTTTTAACAGGGGATTCCTGCTGCTTGTTTGGTAAGGTTTTGGACATTAGAAGCTCCAATATGAAATTCGGCAGCATGGTTTTAAGAGACTAAGATCGGAATTTTACTGGCTTAGACCGCTAGTAATGGTCGCAGAACGATAAGTTGAAGAAACTACCAAGAGCTTTATGTTGTCAGGAGGTGAAGAAAGGACAGGAGATTAATGTTAGGAAGGTATGTTATTATTGGGTGGGTTGATATCTTCGTGAGGCTTTTGGAAGGGAGTGGGTTATTTTTGTATTACTTTCGAGTCTGAAGGCAATATGATTCAAACACATCAAACGGCTTGTTATGAGTTTCAGACTCGATTATTACTTCCATGCTTGAAGTTTAAACGTACACTACTTCTACTGGAAGTGTGTGCTACTTTTAGAGTCAACCTTTTCTATTGTCTCCTGTTAATCAGAATCAATGTTAGATCACACCTATTCGGCTAACAGAACGACTTCGTCCTCGGATTTTCATCACACCGTAAGCTACTTACACTAAGACGGTGACTGTTTTTAGTCTTACCACTACCTAACAGACCTTGATGGTATGATACGACTTCAAAGAAGGATGATTATAGCCAGCATGGCTCGCTGGGTCACTTGTAGGTAAGCCCGGGTACCCCATCTTAACAGTAGCTGTCAGTTGCTGGCGCGAAGTATTAGTGACTAATATTACTGGCGAGGAGACTTCATATGTTAAATCTCGTTTTCTGAATGTCTGATTTTTTTTAATGTAACGTAGTAATCCTTGCCTAAGATTTAAAAATTTCCCTACTCAGCTTATGTGTTAAAGTTGAAACCTGTTTAGCATCCAGGTTACTGTAGCTCAGTGGGTAGAGCGTTGGACTGGCAATCTGGGAGCCACTAGTCCTAATCTGGTGGCAACCCAGGTTTTCATTTCGCCTTCAACTATCACCCTCTACTAGCAATATCATATTTCCAAACCGCAGCTATCTCAGATAGTCGCATCACAAATAATATCGCATCTTTAAATCCACGCATTTTATGAGGTGAATAATAGATTCTGTGGCATGCAAAATAAAATCCAGTGAAATATAAAACAAGCTTTTGGTAGAAACCAAGGGCTTTTGTAGATAGCAATTTAAGTGTGACTGAAATTTCGATTTCGTAACTTTTTCTTGTGGAGTCTTATTTTATACATACTTGAGTATTCGTTCAAAAGCTATCGTTTTCTAAATGATTCAATGAACAGTTCATCTGAGTTTATTTATTTATCAACATTTAGAAATGAATTCACTTTAATCTACATTTTATTACAGAGTTATAAATAAGAATTTTTCAATCTATGCCAGTTTCTTACTGGGTTTTGTGCTGCTCCAAATGCTTTTTGTTTCAAGTTCACCACTCTAAAAAGTCAAAGACTTGGATTTGCAAAGTTTGTTCATGCAAACAGTCCGTTTTAAAGGTTGGATTTTGTGTTTGATTAAATTGATAACACTATGTTTTATTTGATATCCTTAAGTTTATTTAGATTTATAGGAATCTTTCCACATATACCACTGAAAACTCAAGAATTTTAGGAATTCCCTGTATCATGTAATAGAATGAGTCCAAACTTTTTGCGCACCTCGAACTGGATGTTAATTAACACTTTCCCTAAAATGACCTGTCTCAAATTTGTCGGATTTTCCAGGCTTGATGCAATTTACTCCAGAATTATAACAGCAAGGTTCCCGACCGATAGCAGCTACCTTGACGTTGTGGTCGGGCTTGCATATCACAATTACCCAACGAGCTGTGCTGGTGGAACACTTGTTCCATCGAGGTCCTACCCTTCCAGAAAGGTCTGTTGGATAGTGATTAGATGAAAAGCAGTTACCGTTGTGGTGTAAATTACTACACTATGATGGGAGTCCGAGGGCGAAGTTGTACTGCTGTTAGCTGGATGGGGTGTGACAGCAGTAAGGTGTTTCCCTTGGATGACCACCAGTGCTATGCTGATGCTGCCTCTCAGTGGAAGGGGTGGGGGTTAGAAAAGGTCGGCCCCAAAAATAACACTCCACCATACCCCATAGTCTGGCTGGTCGGCGGTGTTGGTTCATTTGTCGTTATTTTCGACCATCTGGCCCCAAAACAACTAAAGTTCAAAATGATCATACACAAAAGGCTGCGTGTGACAGGCCTCAAGCAGATGTCCGATGGGCTCTGCGGTCACACAAATCTCTTTCAGGCACTTAAGAAGAAATAATCTTCCATGGTGTAGGTAGACGGAAAGTGTTAACCGCCCTCACAACTCTGTCAGCACTCAAGTTTCCTCAGACTGCTATCCACCTCCCTCATCATTACCTTCTAATCTTCCTTCATGTCTCTCAATTAACAATACTACATCATGTTTAATTTCTCCTAGTTCTGCAGCCTTTGACAACGATCTGAGTTCACAGAAGAGCATCCTTGGTCTCCGTAAACCACGCTGCAAATTACATATTGGAGCCTTCAATGTCTGCACCCTCCGTCAAGTTGGTCAACAGGCTTCGTTGGCAAAGACTCTAGCAACTCGGGGCATGGATGTGTGCTGTGTTTGTGAGACACACATACCGGATCCAAGTATGGTTATTCACCTAACATCTCCCGACCAATCTGGTGAAACCGCAAAATTTACCCTTCGAGTTTCTGGCGATTCGATGGCTATCTCTCGGGATCTTGCAGCTGTAAGCACAGCATTAAACACTAGGGTAGAAAGCGCACTACTAGATTGGATCCCAGTTGATAGTCACCTCTGCGCTATGCGGCTGAACGGCACAGTGAGAACTAAAAGGAACAGTGAAACTTGCCGTTGTCTCTTTGTAATCTGTGCTTACGCACCCACTGACTGCAGTTCGGATGAAGTTGAGGACGAGTTCTACCGAAAACTGTCTGGCATCCTTTCGAAAGCCAAACGCTTAGATGTGGTGGTTGTTGCAGGTGATTTCAAAGCACAGGTGGGTAAACTGAGTGAGGCAGAAAAGGCAGTTAGAAGGTACTTTCGTTATCCCGGCTTGACGAACAGATAGCGGTGGTCGCCTACTACAGCTGTGCTTGGATAACTGCCTCCTTTTAGTTAGCATAGATTTCGGAAACTGTCTGACGTGGCGTCCACTGGGCTCAACTCAGCGATGGACAGTGACAGACCACACTGCTGTCAGTCATTGCTAGAGAGAATCGTTGGAAGACAGCCACTCCTGGAGTAGGTGTTTGGCTAGCGACCACGCATTGGTCCGAGCGCGTATATGTCTGCGTCTCAATGGACGTAAGAAACATTTGGCAACAAAACCACTACGAGTGGTGCTGGAAAACGGAAATACCAAAGCCGTGTTCAGTGAGAAGTTGGCACTGACAAAATGCATAGTCCACTGGACTTCTTGATTGGCAACTTGAGAATGTGATGTTTCTCTCCACCTAAATGAAAATTGTTGTTCCAAGACTCGTCTTCCCTGGTTCCTTGTCTAACAGTAGGGAGTGAAATGGTTGAGCTCACCAACCACTTCACTTACCCTTATGAAAGAAATCTCTCCACGGGTAGAATAAGTTCTATTGTCCTTGGCTTACTTACACCACTTATAACATCACCATGATATTCAGTTGCGTATTTAGGTCGAGTACACTGCCCTGCCCGTGTTCAGTGAGAAGTCGGCTAGGCAGTTATCAGAACCAAAGACTATCACTCATCCAGAAGAAGCTTAATGCCATCTCCAGGCTTCTGTTAAAGCAGCGCTCGAGACCTTAGCTGACAACGAAAGAGTCGCTAAAAAGAGCTAGTGGATATCAGCAGTTTCTTCTTCCGAAATAATAGATGCACGTGAATGCATCCCTGCAGGCTCTGAATACAATGGAGAGCGAGCACGACTTAGAAGTAGATTGAGAAAAAGTCTACGCAACGACTGTGAACAGTAGTGGGCAGCGAAGGTTAAAGAGATGGAAAGGCAGCGGCGACTGGTAACAGTAGACAGTTATTTAGACTTATTAAGGAAACTGGGGGGAAAAGGTCGACTGCGGTTAGTGAGGCTATAGCGGAGAAGGATGGATCTGTGATTCACTCGCAGAGGAGACGACTGGGACGATGAGTAGAACACTTCGATGAGCAGTTTAACTGGCCTCCAGCCAGCATTGAGTTGCCCGCTATCCAGTCGGATTCTGAATGGAACATTGGGATAGGCCCCCAACAGTAGGAGAAGTTGAGAAAGCTGTAGGTAACCTGAAACGAGGAAGGGCAGTAGGACCAGACGGACTACCTGCTGAGGTATACAAGGATGGTGGTGGAGTGCTCTTAGTCAGGTTAACGGAAGTGTTAACCAGTATATGGGAATCAAATACGGTCCCCTGACTGTCTAAATCACTGATTATCCAGTCTTCAAGAAAGGCAAGAAGTCCTCTTGTGATAACCACAGAGGAATCAGCCTGACGAACATAGTGTCCAAGATCCTAGTTCTATAATTCTTCGACGCCTGAGTGGAGCTTGGGAACAGCAGGCCCGAGAAAACCAGGCAGGCAGGCTTTAGACCTGGCCGCTGGTGTATCGACCAAATATTCACACTGCGCCAGGTTTTGGAACATAGATACTCTTACCGGTGCCCGACACTGGCTGTATTTCTCGACCTGAAGGTGGGATTCGACTCCGTCGATCGAGAAGTCTAATGGCAATGTCTGTCACTGGAAGGTGTGCCTAGTAAGTACATCACTTTATTGAAGGCTGTCTACTCGAACACTTGTGGGCATGTTAGGGGCCATGGTGAGATATTCGGGGATCTGCACTCGTCGAGTGGTGTCCTTGAAGGATGCCCACTGTCTCCATTCTTATTCAATTTTATCATAGATATTCTCATGGTCTGCTTCTCGTCACCTGACTACACAGAGGTTAACCTAATCGGTGGAGAATTTTTGTTAGATCTAGAATATGCAGATGACATAGTCCTGTTAGGTGAAGTCGTTGACAAGATTCAGAGTCTTCTGGACATTTTGAGTGGCAATTTGAGAAGGAAAGGTACCTGTCTTTTGATTGGAAGAAGGGCGACCTAAGCCTTTACAAGAACTGGCGAGGAGTCATGCTGCTGTCCACCCAAAGCAAGCGAAATATTAAGCCACATCATCCTCGAGAGACGAAAACATGCTCCGGATTCAAAACTGCGACCGCAACAGGCTGGCTGGCTTCAGAAAAACAAATCATGTGCGGATCAAATTGCAACGCTTCGCATCATCATAGAAAAGAGCATAGAATGGCAGTCAACCCTCTACCTCAACTTCATTGATTTTGAAAATGCCTTTGACAGCGTCGACCGACAAGTAATTTGGCAGGCAGATGCTTCAACTCTATGGAATATCGCAAACCTTTATCAACTTCATCCAACAACTATATGATGACACCACATGTCAAGTAATTCACAATGGGAAGCTCAGTGATACTTTTGAAGTGAAGAAAGGAGTAAAACAAGACTGTCTTCTATCACCCATGATAATCCTGATTGTGGTGGACTGGACCGTGCAACAAACAGTGAAGAGTGAGAAGAGGGGGATACACTGGACTGAGGAAAATATCCTAGAAGATTTGGATTTCGTCGATGACTTGTGTCTAATGTCACACAAACTCGCAGATCTACAGGTGAAACTCAACAAGTTGGCAGAAGTGGCAGGGCAGCGAAGACGGGACTTCAAGTGAACATAGAGAAGACAGAGATGATGAACATACCCAACCAACACCACCACCACCACCAACAACAACAACAACAAGCTCCAATCACCATCAACGGGAGAAACTTAAAGGAAGTAGCCTCTTTCACCTACCTAGACAGCACTGTTTCAACTTCATGCGGCGGCACAGACATGGACGTCAAAGCCAGACAGGATCGGAAAAGCAAGACAGGCGTTGATTAACCTGAAACCAGTGTGGAGATCTTTTGCACTCAGCATAAAGCGTGAACAAGATCCGGATTTTCAACACCAATTCAGTCAAGTTAGTGCTTGTATATGGTTGAGAGACTTGGCGCGTTACGAAAGGGATTTCCAACAAACTACAGACATTCATCAACAACTGCCTACGCTGACTCGTTGCTGAAGCTCAGATGGCCAGAATAATAAGAATAAGCAACAAGGAACTGACTCTGTCTGGTCTGGCAACGAGCCAACCAAGAAGTTATCGCTGGACAAATATGCAGTGGAAGGAAGTGGAGATGGATTGGAGTGTGCATGCACTGAGGAGACTGATTGGGGACATCAGGCGCCAGGCCAGGCCATGCCAGGCCGTCGAGTGGAACCCAGATGGGAAACGACGAGTTGGGCGTTTGATCTGAGGGTGACATGGAGGAGATGGTGTGAGGAGGAAATGAGAGTTTGTGGGCTATCTTGGAGCCAGGTTGAAAAGATGGCAGAGAAGAGAGTGGAATGGGGACGTGCTACTGAAGCCGTATGTTCCACTAGGAACACAAGGGACAAATAATAATACAATAATATGCAATTAACTAACCCGACCTATAACTGCTACTTTGATGTGGTGGCGGGCTTGTGTATCACGATGACCCGACGAACTATGCTGGTGGGAAGCTTGTTCCCTCGAGGTCCTACCATACCATAAATGTCTGTTGGATAGTCGTTATACAAAAAGCAGTTACCCCTAACATGTTCTTAAACAATGAGATGACGCATTGTGGTGGCTTAGATCAGTCGTCAGTGGTTAGTGTTAATCCGAAACCTCTGGGCGTATGTTCAACCACATCTCCCGTACTGCAAGCCAATCATCGTGGCCTCAAAAAGGCCGTACGTGACCGCCCTCAAGCAGATGTCCCCTGGCCTCTGCGGTCACACAAATCTTTTCCTCTTTAAGGTATCCTATGAAAAAATAGCCTTCTAGGGTGTGGGGAGCCAGGATGTGTCAGCCGTCTGCGCGCTTCCATTAGTGCACGAGGCCCAATCAATTATAACATGTCCTCCTCAACTCTGTCTCCTCCTTTGCCGTCGCCTCCTGATTTTAAAATAGTAAACCTCTTACGCCTTACCCATACTCACTCTTCAACCATTGTCAACGACCAAAGCCGTCAATACGTCATTCCTAGTCTACTAAGACCCTGCTACTGATTTCATGTAGGAGCTTTCAGCGTCCGAACTCTATGCCAAATCGGACAGCAAGCGTTGCTAGCCGGAACTCTGAAATTCCCAGCCATGGATGAGTGCTGCCTCTGAGACACGTATATAAGACCCGAGTAGGGTTATTACATTGACCTCACCTGGCCATAGTAGTGAGTCTTCAAAATTCACTTTAAGAGTTTCCGTAGACTCAATGACCAGCTCTCACGGACTCGCTGGTATAGTCATAGCATTGAGTCGTGGAGCAGAAAGTGCTCTGCTCGACTGATTTCCATTAAACAGCCGTTTATGTGCTGTTCGACTGAATAGATCTGTAATCTCCACCTACGCACCCACCGTGAGCGGATCGTCTATCGAATGTCGTCTAATTGGTGACCTTGTGATATAAACCCAGGACCCTGTTTATTGATTGGTTGCACTCGAATTTTGTCTGTTCCCATATCTTGTAAAGTGTAGAAAATAAAACTGGTTCACTTCCTTGCAAAGTTGTACTTTGATCTGTCTGCCTAATTTGTTGTTAAATCCTTGGATTAAGTACATTCTTCTGCGGATTCAAACAGTCCTTCAGAGACATAGTTATCCAAAACTCTCAGCTCTGCGATTTCAAATTTCTGATCCTGTTACTGTCACTGAAGGTTTTTACATCGGATGTTTCACAGATAAACGATAATCAGGATAGTTGCAGGTATCATCTACATTAAAGTTCGCTGTTCTGCTTTTCTCTGCAGTTTGGAAATCTCGACTGATACAACTCCTGGATTACTGACACATTTACTCAAATATCCTAATTTCCTAACTCTTTTTGACGATTTACTATATAGGATTAACGCAGGAATGTGTTCATACTAATCTTTCATTTTTACAAAGCGCCCGTATGGACACCTATCACCAAATAATTGAATACCATTTAAGTAACTGGTTGTATCGCATAGTAAGACAGTATCATTTTCATACTCAGAACAGATTTAATGTTTAATACGCTGATCTATTGGCATTTGATTATTGGGTGATAAAATAACAGAAGATTCTCATCAATTTTGAACTACTTGTCACTTTATCTGTTTAAATTGGTGGTTGATCTTGTGCTTCATGGGTTTACATCAGTTGGATGGCTACTCGAAACCAAGAGAAAATGAACAGCTATTCTCACTAAAAAGTGCAGGTATGAGATTACTTCAAAGTATTCAACACAAAACTTGTCTATTACTCACTTTTCTTTCAGTAGTTTGTCAATTAATATTGGTTTTCTGTGAAACTATCTTCACTCAGTTAAACTATTAAGCTATTTCGGCTTTTTAAGGTTTTCGCTGAAGGAAGTTCGCAAGATTGTCGCAAAGTCGTACAGAAATTAAATAAAGAAGGTATTGAGCGTCAAGCAAAGCTGTGCAAATACGGCATAGCAAATCATCCCAGTATACGGCAGTGGAATCCAAACAAGAATTTACCTAGTAAAATCATATCCACAGAAAACCGATTATCCGAAGACAGTGATCTAACAAATGAGGAGGATATTAATTCCAACACTGACGAAGTTTCATACAAATTATATCCGTGTTCAAAGCCGTCTAATTCTCTCATGCAAACAAGTGCAAAAAGCGGAAAACACTCTTTATTTCCTGTAGGTATCTTTGCACATTTTTGTAATTATGGTTGACAATTTTTTAATGGAACCGTCTATCATTATTTTTACAAATACAATTGATTTATTTGCAAAATGGATTTAAATTAACGACTTGTAAGTTACTTGTTTTTTGTGTCCCTGGGTGTGAAGCGAAATGCAACTGTTGGTCAGATTTCATTATTGCTTCTATCTCTCTAATAAGTTAGTTAATCACCTGCCTGCTCAACTCCGTTTTGATTAGAACAAAATACTGGAATAAATGGAAAATGCACTGTCATTAAAATAGAATCTGGTTACTAGTTGGGTCGCATGGTACTGTATGGATGTCTCTTTATTTATGCTTTCAAATAGTGATAACTTCTCAAACGTACGACTTGTTAATATTTCTCGTCAGTAAGTATTTGTGATTTAGTGTTGTGCACTCGTTACCTTATTCATTTATGCTACAAACGACTTACCTATCTTAGTTTTCCTGATGATGAAAGCTGAAAGGTTTAGGATTCCTTGAACACGATGAGGTATAGCAGCTTTTGAGTATTAACTGTTCTTGCGTTTATTTTCCTATTTTTTCACTGGAGGAAATAATCTACTTTCGGATAAAACAATAGTATAGTGATTTGTTATTGAAAACAATCCATTTGTCTGTGGAATTTCACTCAATTATTAATGCACACTGATCGAGATGATTGTAGTTTTATAACATCATTATGTGCCTACCGACTATAAACTGGAAGTTTTTATATCTAATTCACCTCTGTGTTTATGTGACTATGTATCTTAATTTTTTTCGGAAAATGTATGGCTTTCATTCAATAATGAAACGTTTTATTATTATTAGAACATAAACTTGTTGCAGTATAGACACCAGCAGATGCGCCATGCAGCACGAAGCAGCATTATGAAGGCACAGAAAACGTAGGAGAAAATGGAAACAAAAGAAAAGTGCGTTCATCATTTTGGTATTTGTACCCCCCTATCGAATGTAAAACTAAACAGCGCTTTTTTAACTAACATTTCACTGTTTAGCGCTGATAGCTTTATCAAAGCTACAATAAAACAGAATTGAAAATATCCAAGCATATAGAAGATAACTTGATCTGAGTTTCCTGCATGGATTATTCCTCGTTGTCAAATTGTTGCGGATGATGACCATGTGTGTTGTGTTAAGTTTGATGACTGCGTGGATTTCAGATTGAGATTTGGGTTTATACTTATGCTTATAGTTCTTATCGCATATGTGTTGGTTATATGTGGATGTGGAGGTTGGTTGAAACTATTTGAAGTTACGTTTTATACTCTCGTTTTTATTTAGAAAGTTTTGATTCCACCTCAAAACATTAAGTCCTAACCTCGTTTATATAACGATAAAAACAAAAGTGAGTTTTTAAAAGAAGTAGTCTCATACATCTGAAGAAGCAGTCACTACTTTCAGTTTTCTTTTCAACCATAGAGGAAACAAGAAAACTCCAACATGATCACCACTGGTTTAGATTCAGGGTCACGCTTAGCATTGTGTTAAGTCCCAGAGTTGCATAGTGTCTTGGATTCTATCCGAGGAGTCGTGAAGCACCTGCATATGCTAGCGCAAAACAACTACCTATCATCTTAAGGCTCTGCGTCACCTCTCTGCTTCTAACTAGTTTGAAGACAAGTGAGCGATACGGGAGTTACTGGGAACATAATTGTAATACTTGTGGAAGCCACCCAAGTCGGTGTTTCGTGATGGTGATCTCCATCATACTCAAACATTCCATATCGCCGCGGAATTACTTACATGGCGAACAATTCTACGAAGACAACGATGACTGGACACAGTTGTAAGACATTCTCACTTCGGTGAGGGTTGGTTTCACAGACGTACAGAGGAATTGTGGTGACCAAAGTACTGTATACATAACCTTTTGCAGAAAAGGTAACGCCACGATAGCACTAAAGACGACCCGGGCTGGCGTATTACCCTCTGGCTTTTGATATGTGGTTGGGAATTACATCGGCCGTACATCTAACAAGCATTCAAACAAATACCCTGATGCATTAACTTTTTAATACGTTCCAACGATTCAGTTTCATTGGCTTTTCGACTACTTCTAACGGCTCACCGCCAAGAGTGGGCGCAGGCACAAGCCTATGCCAATCTTTCAAAAGTACTTGGCACTTTGATGGTGCAAAGCACATATCATACTTACAGACTACTCATAGGTCAAAGCGATCAGATTATCCTTCGGACCGTTCGACTTGACTACGTTAGTCAACATTTCCTAAATCAAATAGTAATTGAGGGCATCATGGCACCGTCATCTTTTTGCATGCAATTAATCCACAGACGAAATTATTGTTCTCATTACGATCTTACGTAGATGCTTATCTGACTAGTCATCTTAAAGGTGTAAATTTATCTCGTAATTATCATAGGTTTTCAAGCGGTTGGATTCAAGTACTGGGACACGTATTTCACACTTTCACCTTCGTGTGTACTGAGTGCTGAATAAATTAATTAGATAATATATACAGCTGTCTCTATACTCTTTTCAGTTATATGTTGTAAATAAGTTTTTTATGTAGTAATTACTGTTATTAGAAAGCCATAGCATACCATACTGGTAAAGTCTTATCTATATTTTTAGATTGTTTTACTTGTTTCACGCCTTAAAAATATGACACACTACTTTTCAGATTGAGCTGATGTCTTAGTTGCCAACTAAAACACGAGTTCAGAGAGCGACTCAGTCTGGACATCTTCATCTTGAGCTGAGGACATTCTCCAAAACTTAGTTTTTGTTACTTAAATTTTAGACTTCTATTGCTGAATATCCTGGAGCCGTTGCTTCTTCCTCACTGACTGATGATTCGTTTACAGATGCATCCCGAAAATCTGGTTCAAAATGGGACGTCTATTTGTGATACTATTATAAAATTGAGAAACAAGTTATACAGTTTATATTCATTATTGATTATTTTCGTAACTATTTTCAATTACTCTGTTTTTCCTCTTAAAAAGTCACCTGATGAAATACAACTTTGATATTCCGATAACGCAAAAATGTTTTTTTAAAAGCAAATTGAATATATAGAGGGAAGCACTAAATTAAGGTAATTGAACCTTAACTTCTGAATTATAAGCAGGTATATGAGCGCTAACTGGTCTAGGTTTTTTCATAATTGGAAGTGAAATCCGAAATGAAATTCTTGATCATTTTATAGTTGTCAGAAGGATTTCTAGCATCCAAGTGCATATTGGTTTTCTCAACGGGACTCGAACACAAGAATTACCACTTAAGTTGCTGTTCTAGATAGTTATTTCTTTTCTGTTAGATATTCTGACAAAGTACCAATGTACCTTTTAAAAAGCAGTGAAAAAAGATTCAGAGAGACAGTGAACAGGAAGGGATGTATTAAACTTGACAAAAATGACGCTGAGAGTCAGTGTAACTTTCTTCATAAGTCCCCAACCAGTGATTCATTCTGAGGAACACTAGCATGTTCCTATTTCTCTGAATAAGTTAACCTGTCATAGACTTCAGGTATGGTTTTCATGTCTTGCCTAAGTTGCAGTCATAATATATTTACTGCATTATGTATTTTCCATCATAGCACAAGATTTCTCATTAAGGCGAACTGCGCATCACCATTGTTAATCTTGATTGTTATTTAAATAGTTGAATGAACGCTCACACAATATGCAAGTTTGTAAAACTGGAGGTGATGTCGGGTACAAAAATAGTGAAGCTGAAACTGCAATATTAAGCTTTCTAATGATTTGCAAATATCGTTTGTTGTAATTGGCATGAAACAATAAGTCAAAGATTTCGTAGTTTATCGAGTGTTTCCCGAATAATGTTCCGAATTCGCTTAGCGCTCAGTCGGTTGTCTACCTAAACAGCTGTGTATATTAAAAATATCTCGATGACTTTTGTTCTATTTGAAAGCATCTGATGGCAGTGATTAACTTCTCCGATATTTAGTTAATCTCCTGTCGAACTGAGAATCTATTCTGTCATGGCTGTACACATTATTTTCCTGTGTTACATCATGATTTTGAGATGGTTACAGTGCTCTGTCGTCCATACCGCCCTAGCCATAGAAGTCTGTAAGGCAGCATAAACTTATCTGTCCCATGGTCGATGATTCAGACATGTCTTACTTTGTGTGTCAAACCGTTCTGGTATTGGTAAAGTAGCTGTGAACGATTTCAGTAATCTTTGTAATGTAGTTTTCTCTGAAGAAGAATTCGACTCATCTCCACATCGTATTTAAAAAGTGACAAGCAGCTTCAGTCTTTGATGCGTTTATTTTCTTCTGACGGCTTAATATAGTTACAGTTAATATTTAAAAACTGGAATATTGTTTGTTATATACTGCTAATGAAACGCACTAGTATTATTTTTGAATACTCCTTTCATCGGTGTTATATACGAGTGGTTTGTTGGTGATGATTATTACAGAATAATGATTAGTTGTAAAACTATAAGCTCGCATACTGTCATACATACAGGGAAAATCGACATACAACCCGTCACAGTAGTATACAAAGAACAGATGGATAGAAAAGGAGTGATATCAAAGTAGACAAAGTTGTGTGGGCAAATAAATCTGAAGATGAAGGTTAGTGTGAATAATCAGCATGTGAAATACACGTCCAAGCCATCTGAGTCGACTGCCTATCTTACTTCGCCTGACTTCAACATTACTCACACGGTGATCCCACCAAACGTGACCAATGCTACGAAAACACCTATGATCGGAACACTGTAACTGTTACATGTCTCCTACTTTTAATGATCATGTCTCACAACCATACAACAGGACAGAATGGACCGTAGCGCTACGTACTCGTCCTTTGATAGATAGTCGGATATCTCGCCAACACCACAGTTAACACAAGTTCTGTATCCAAGCCGAGATTTCATCAGCAACCAGCCCGTTTAGTGGGTTGGTGCACCTCCCTAATTAAGTGAAGTGGTCGACACATTCTACCACTTCACTCCCTATCACTGGACTGGGAGTGGTTGCAGAAGAATAGCCGTAGAGCATCATCTTATATTTGACGAATAAGAGACGCATGCCAAACATACTCAGATTTCTGCTCAAGGTGTTCAAAAAACTCCATTTCGTCAGCATCTTTACCTAGTATGACAATATAGTCTGGATATTCCAAGTCAACCAAATGCCCTCCAGGAAGTAGATCAATCCCAATGAAGTCTGAGGTACTTGAGTTTATGCTCATTAGTACATGTCTAATGAAGGTGAACAGGAATAGTGACGCATTCTTGATGGACACCAATAGTCGTCGTCAATTATAATGACAGTCCTCTATAACGTACTTTACAGCTGTGTGAGCCATGTAGTTGAGTGGTTTGTACTCAGGAGAAAAAATTATTCATTGACCAGACTTGGGTTTCATACAATCATTTACAAAACTTAATTTTAGTGGCGAAGGAGGTGCTTAAAAAATCAACTGATCACTGGTCTTCTATTACCTGCTCTCATTTTGTAAATAATTCATTTACTTGTATGCAAAGAACGAAACTGGAGGTAATGTGGACAGATACTAATAGACGGCTAAACTTAAGAAGAAAGTTCACCAGATGATCTATAATATTACAGCGATGGTTATAGGGCTCTTTTCTATGACAACTGACGAATGGTTCTTGTGGAAGCGTGTTTGCTGACTAGTACAATGTAGTGCTGCATAAAATCTGTAGTGGTTGATCTTTTTTGCTTGGTAATAGTTCGTCGCCCATTTTTTATGTCAACAATAGGGTATATTTCTTCGAAACCATATCAACATTAGGTTTCGAATCATTCACAGTATAAATGATATGTAGGACTTTCTTACAAATGGTTCGTTCGCTTCATGAATTTTCACAGAGTAGAGACAACGAACATTCTGAAATGAATCGTATTCATTTCGCGTGTTCTAAATCTTCCACTTGTGTACCAGATTCGAAATTCGTGTACAGTAAGCTGTCAGTAATAAACATTAGTAGTTTAAATCGGTTCAATGATGAGGTCAACATCGAATACATCTGTACATAATACGTATATAAGAACAAAAGTAAGTGACGAAGTTTACAGTCTAATCAACCAATCAAGGGAACACATGCGAATTATTTTTAAGGTGACAAGTGAGATTATAAAACCGATGAATAAACAAACAGTAGGTAATACTGAAGGAGTTTGTCGTTCAAGTTGTTAGGAAATTTGATGTAGAGAGGAGTAAAAGAAACGACGCCCAAGGCGGATAAATTAATGGTACTTATAAAAAATGCTAAGAAAAATATGATCAAAGCAACTAAAAAGTAATCAGAACATTGCTAATGTTCACGAATGGTATATGAGACGATGAGATTCACAATAAGTCCTTGGCAGCCTAATTGAATGGATGCGTAAGAAAGTTTATGAGCTGGATTCCCCACCTCCGCCTATTACGTAACTTTTCCCCTGACCAAAATTAACGAGTCAGCCACGTGACTGATAGCACGAAATTAGAAAGTAATGTAGGAAAGCATATGTTGGTGGAAAGTTACCTATTTCAAACGAGCGACAATACCTACCAAGCAGTCGTCAACGCAAATGAATCCTTATTTTTAAAGGGTTTTTTGTCACCATGTTTCCGTCATTAGTCTCCGAAAGACAGCCCAAAGTATAAAAAGCGAACGTATACACACTAACTTGTACGAGATTCACATTTGCAAGGTGACCGAAGACCTGACGTAAAGTTTGTGTGTTGGTAGGCTACTGGATGCTGTCTCGTAGATGGCGTAGTGATAGGAAGGTCAGTTCGTTTATCTTCAGTATGTATTCACTTGATTATCCCTCAAATGCTTTTGTACAGCGGTTGTGTTCGCAGAGTTTGTAGATGGTTTATGGATAGTAATTCGGTGGTTGTTGACTTACAGCTAACCCTTCAACTCCCTACTTTTGTACCAGGAAGTTGAAATAGACATCATAAGGCTATTGCTAATATCTGGTACGGCTGCATTCAATTTCACTGAATGATGACTGAAATTGAGATAAAAATATGAGTTGAACCAGTGGTCTCCACGTTATCTACACGGTGCTCTATCATTTAAGGTTTTTGGTAGACAATGAGATGAAAGAATAAAACGGTACGTAAAGCTGTTGGGGGAGGGGGGGGGGGAAAACTACACCAAGCCAACGGAAAATGAACCACAAACTTGTACGCAATTTAGTTACGGTTGATGGGTTGCTGCTGCTTCTGCGTAACGTAGCATTCAACTATTAATATATCTACTGATTAAATGGAAAGCTGGATTTGATTCGACAGTATAGCCTCTATTTTAATCCTTATTCAGATTGTCACAGTGGAACGGCGTCATTCACTGGATAAAGTTTAGGATATATTATGTTGTCCATGTTCATATCTGGTCCTCTATCGAAAACGTCCATACCAGTGGCACTACTAAGTGGTCTTGTATCTCAGCGATAAGTTTTTTGAAATGTGCTCAGAGGTTACTTTGGCGAAAACGTTTTGTTATTCCGACGTACATCTGGCTGCAAGTACAATTAACAAATGGTAACATGAGGTGGTTTCGTATCTTAATTAGTTTCAGAACAAGAATACTTTGAGCGGACAATTGTTTTTAATAACTTACTCCTCAAGCTCCACAGTTATAAATCCATAAGAATAGGTGAAATGCAATAGCCAAAGTAAGGCATAATGTAAAATTATTTCAACATCAAAACAGTCAATGTGAGGGTGAAATGAGGTTGAATCAAATGGAAGTAAGCTTCTGTCAGGTGAAATAGTATTCAGTTTAGTGTTATCTGTACAATATGAAAAGAACAATCGTCACATAAGGAGCCAAAATCTAGAGATAATGATTCATTTACCTACATCTGTTTGGGGTATAAATGTATCTTGGTTTACTAAGGATCAAAAAATTATCATGCAGTTGAGTTATATTCAAGTAATGTGAAAAATCATGTGAATACAGTAACGAAATATGAAGTTTTGTGTAAGAGTTGGAAGTACCTACTAGTAATGGTATCAATAAACAAGGACGGAAAACTAATAAG